GGGGGTGACAATGCTTTACAAAATTATACAGGCTTCAGGTGCACAATTCCACAACACATCATCTGTACCCTGTACTGTGCGTTCCCACCCAAGTCAAGTCTCCTTGGATCACCATTTATTGCCCCTAACCCTTCCTCCATCTCCTCTTTAATATAAAATATCCAGTCAGTGTTAAAATTTCTAATTCTCTGATAGATATCACTTTTTATAGTGACACATCTCTTTTAATCTATAGTTAATGTGGCTTTATAATAATATTTACCTTACTCCACTATGCACTATTTGCTTTTGGCAAGCATATTTTTAGGAATAAATTTGCTTTGACAAGAGATATAGGCTTGCAATTTCAATATATATATTTTAATGGTCACAGAATGAAAATTTTTCATATTGAAATATACTGAATAACTTTCTCAGAAACCCTCTATGCCAGAGGTTCTCAACCTGTGGGTCGCAATGCCTTTGGCGGTCAAATGACCCTTTCACAGGGGTCGCCTAAGACCATCCTGTATATCAGATATTTACATTACGATTCATAACAGTAGCAGCATGACAGTTATGAAGTAGCATCGAAAATAATTTTATGGTTGGGTCACCACATGAGGAACTGTATTTAAAGGGCCAGAAGGTTGAGAACCACTGCTGCTAACCATGCAGAATCTTCAAGTTGGCAAGAAATTTCCCTGGCCCACGTTTACCACTATCACAAATGTAATATGAGTGATCACTGGACCAACAAAATAGGATTTTGTTATACACATTTACAACATTTTCAGTCTTCTTAAAATTTTTATTTAAATATTGTGCCATTTGCTTTAGAGTCTGGGTCCATGGTGGCAATTTTTCTAATACGTGTGAAGATGGTTTTATTGCCATGAAATTTAAATTACAACTGGCAATAATTAACTTATTTTACAGAAGGGGAAACTAAACTAAATGAAGTAAGTCAGTTTTCTCAAGCGATAAAATGCTATTGTGGTCATATGTAAAAGGAAAAACTAATATTATTGTTTAGACATCTGAACAATCATTTTTTTTTAGATGTTTGATTAGTGAAATGGTAAAAGTTCCATGGCAAAGATTCCAATGAGTTTTCTTTGCAACTATAAGTGAAAAATTAAGTGGATGAAAGTTCTTAAAGTAAGCATGACTTGAAATATCAAGGGAATCTATGTCTTATTAAAAATAAAAGTAAGGTGCCCTGGACAGTGTGGCTCAGTTGGTTGGGCGTCATCCCATGCACTGAGAGGTCGCTGGTTAGATTCTCGGTCAGGGCACATGTTTGGGTTGCAGGCTCGATCCCCGTGGGGCATGCAGGAGGCGGCCGATCAATGTTCTGCTCTCACATCGATGTGTGTTTGTTTTTATTGTCTAAAGTTTTACGTATGTCTCCTTTTCCCCCAATTGACGCCCCCAGCCAATGTTTTTTTCTCTCTCTCTCTGCCCCCTTCCTCTCTCTAAAAATCAATAAAAATATTTTAAAAAATAAAAAGGCTTTCCCATGTTCTCCAATCATATTTGAGCTCATTCAAAGAGCTCTTTCATTCATGTCCCTTCTAATTAAAGTAATAAATATTTGGATTATGCTTTATTTTCTCTATGTTTCATTCTTTTTTTTAATGAACATAATTCAGGAAGTTGACAGTGGACCAATAAGGAAATCTGGGTCGAAATATGAGGGAAAAAATTACCATTGATACTATCATACATTCAACTAAATTTTCTTACTGTTTAGTATGTGTAGGTACCATGCTTAGGGCTTACGCATATTGCAACTAGTCCACATAACAACCCTGCATTGAGGCAGTACGATATCGACCATGGAGAGCAGGGGTTCTGGAACTACTAATCAGTACAGGTGTCTTATTAGGGTGATGAAAATGTTCTAAAATTAATAGTGGTAATAGTTACACAAACTCAGTGATTATACTAAAAACCAATGACACACACTTTAAAAGGGTGAATTTTATGGTATATGAATTCTATCTCAATAAATGGTTTCTATATATTTAAAAGTATGCTACAGAATTACACTGACCAAGTTGGAATCCTTGAGAGGCCCGATCTTGACCAAGCCTCTTAACCTCTCTGTGCCTCAGTTTTCCAAATCTGTCGATGGGCATATTAATAGCACCTATTTCGTAGGGATGTTCTGAGGGTTAAATACGGTAATACATGTAAAGGACTTAGCACAATGCCTGGTGCAATCCCTGTTTTATAGATAAGAAAACTGTGGGTCAGAGAAATTTAGCAACTTGCTAAGGTCAAATGACCTTTAGCTAAACAGTGCAGTAGGGCTTTGAACCCAGGTCTGCCAAGCCTCAACCCCCACGCTCTTTCTGTCAAGCATGTTTCTTTTCCAGAACAGGAATAAGACTCTCCCCGATGCTATTCAATGGTTACTCCTCCAGCGCGTTAAACCATGGGATTGAATGGAAAACCTGGGATTGATAAGAAAAACGTTGCTTGCAATCCTTCTCCATGTCTGGGCAAGCGGCTTTCTTTTAAGGTTCCTCTTGCCGCACATGGTACTGAATCATCACCATAAACATATGTTTAAATATGTGCTACCAAAGGGCTTTATAAATAAGGGATTTTTTTTCTAATTAAGGACCATTTTCCTTCCAGGCACCAGACTCCGGTTTAGTCCCTGAAGAACACACGAGTGTATTTTGTGTGCAGAGTTAATAAAATTCACCATCATCTTCCTTCACCAGTGATGGCGAACCTATGACACGTGTGTCAGAGGTGACATGCGAACTCATTTTTTTGGTTGATTTTTCTTTGTTAAAAGGCATTTAAATATATAAAATAAATATCAAAAATATACACCTTTGTTTCAATACGGTTGCAAATATCAAAAAATTTTCTATATGTGACACGGCACCAGAGCTAAGTTAGGGTTTTTCAAAATGCTGACACGCCGAGCTCAAAAGGTTCGCCATCACTGCCCTACACAGAAGATCCTGCCACAGATACAAATGCTAGGAGAGTCTGGGGCTATCATTTCTGTCCCTTCTCACTCCCTTCCCAATACTACCTGGTCTTCCAGGGCTTTAACAATTCTTCCGCTAACTGGTCTCTTTCTTACACATTCCTTTTCTTTGTATAATCCTAAATTGACCTATAGAACCTCCTATACACCTGTACCCACCCACTCTACCAGTTTCTGAAGCACACAGTGAACTAAGACTTGTTCAAAAGGGCTTCAAGGTAAAGGGCATTCTCCCTCCCCTGCCCCAAAAGCATGTCTTAGGGAAGAGCAAGGCTGTGGGCAAAACAACGGGTTTTGCTACTTGATCTTTCTTTACATGTACTAGTATTTCCAAATAAGCAAAGACTTTGCTACATATATTCTGCCACTGCCAATAGGTAAATAGTTTTCTGTTCTAAATAAACTCTTTTTTTCAATAAGAGAGAAAGGCTGGGTAGAAGTTGCCCCGTGCTGGAAGAGGACTGCCATGCCACTATTATTAGCATCTGGTAAGATGGGCCCTTTGTCTTTTTAGCTCCAGATAGTCTCCTGTGTTAAGTTCCAAAATTATTTTTTCTTCTCAACATATTATTATACCACATCTCTGACACTAATTCTTTATTTCTCCTTTAGGTAATTAATTCTACCCTCGCAGTTCCATTCATTTCTGCCAGTTCACATTCATGTTCCGGCCCCTGTGGATTTTGGTTAACATCTGTTAAACCCTGAACTGTAGGACCATTCCCTGAATAGCATATTCACATTTTGCGTTCATATAATTTTCTATTCTCAACCTATGTTTTTGCCATAAATGTTTTAGGACAGTGAGATATATAGTAACCACACATCATATTATTCAAAATACTATAAATGGTATGACTTTAAGTTACAAGAATTAAGAAGCTTTAGAAATATAATATTTTCATGTGTTAAAGTTGGCTTTAAAAAAACTTGAAATACATGAAAACAAAGTATGAGCTAGGAAAATTAAAATGTTAATAAAACTAGTATCATCATGCACAACTTAAATTTTTTTAAGGCATGACTGTTCACTGAGATGAGATATAGTGACAGTAAAAGAATAAGGAGTATGGGGCAAGTTTACAATTGGTTAAAGAGTTATAGCGCAAAAACAGTTCACAAAGTAGTTGCAAATTTGGTCTATTCCTTTCGGTGATTATCTGAGAAAATACAAATCTCGACTTCTAATAAGGTAAGATAATTAACATTCACAAGGATGTTTCTAATATTCTCAACCAGAGTACTGAACAGAAGGAAAGCCTATACTTTAAAGACATCCCCTCAAACTGTTTGAATTCAGAAAAAAAAAATCTTCTAATTTTGAACCTTTTAAAAATGTGTTCCAATCCTGTCCTTTTTTTTTCTTTTCTTTAATCTTGCACACAGCTGTCTGTCGTACTTTTTAGAATCATGCCAGCTGCTGGGTTCATCAAGCCAAGGCAGGAAAACAATGGTTTGAAAGTAATTAGACGCTCCGAGGCTGCAGCGAGGCTCATATTAAAATGTGATAACACTGTTCTAGTGGGAATTTCAACACTGCTCCATTTCTGACATTTCTCTTCTGCCAGACAGGCAGGCTGTGTGGAAGAGCACCGTGATCGGCGAGGTAACACACTGGAATTTCTTTCTGGAGCAAATGAAGGATTAGCCGCGTTGGAGCCCTCCCAAGGTTTTGATGATGGACTTGGCTACCATTGTATTTGAATGCTTGTGGATCCTGTTGGCCTCGAACAAAGCTCAAGAAATAATAGCATATTATAGTTTTAGTTCTATAAAATGATCTAGCACCAATCCACTCAGACAGAGGAAGCGTCAAAGACCCTTGTTGCTAAAAGGCAGGGCAGGGGGAGGGGGGCAGCAGGATGAAGGTTAATTAAACACTCCACTAACTTTCCTCAGAAATGGCTAATGCTACTCTGTGGAGAAGCTTTTATAGACGAGACAGAAGGAAACAATACCGTCTCCACCTTCTTAGGGTAAAACCATAAGTCGTCCGAGCACTCACCTGGGGGCTGAAAATCCCAGTAGTACCTGAAAAACAAGAAAAAGAGTGGAGATACAGTCAAACCTGTATTCCTCAATCTGGGTTGGCCTATGGTAGCTATAGCACCCAGTCCAAAAAGCTTGCTAAATAGTCGGTAACTAGCCAAAGCTACTACCCACTTTGATAAGAACCCAAGGGACTTGGGAGAGCCTCGAAGGCTTGAAAGCAGCATTGAACTCACTGTAACTCCTTAGATAACTTGGACCACGTTGCTGGAGATGTCCTAAGAGGTTTGCTAGCCATGGACCAGGGTTTCTCATAGGAGCTTACAGACACTGAGCAGGACAATTCTTTGTTTGTGACAACCTGTCTCCTGTATTATAGGACAACCAGCATCACTGGTCCTGGATATCCAATGCCAGTGGCACCTCCAATACATCCCCGCCCCGCAACACATCCTCAAATACCTCTGGGCCTAAATTCTTCTTAATTTTATAGGTCAAGCATGAGCAACTGACAAGGTCATCAAACATTTTAGTATCTGAGCCAAGTTTGAGGCTCTTGAAGCCTGCCATCTCCTTTTTTTATTTTGGGAAATGATTGGCAAAACTGACAACCCTTAAAGCCTTAAAACTAATGAAACAGCAGTGGCAGGAAGGATCATTTTTAAGTCACTTACTTGGAATCTAAATTGCATCCCCCTCCCTCCAAAACAATGTTCTGTATGGTGGCTACCCACAAAAGTCTATTGTATTTTGGATCCCATTTCCTCCTGCCTTCACAGGAAGCTTACGTTATTTCTATATTGATTTTCTCTTGTATATAATCAACCTCTGCCTCTCAATTTCGCACTTTCCATCAGCATTTTGTTAATATAAAAATAAAGCAAACCTTCCCTCACCCTCTTCATATCCCTCCATCTTGGCCGTCCTCTTTTCCCTCACATCACAGTGAAATTTTCCAAAGTTTGCCTATCTCTTTATTTGCTCACCTCTCACTCATTTCTCAACAGAGTCCAATCTCGCTTACAATCACCACATGTTATTTCTTGCTGTGAACATAGTGACCCTCCCATACCACTACGTAGAGTGAGTAATTCTTATCTTCATCTTGACCTCCCAAGAGTTTATATGTGCATATGAGCATTTCCCCCTTGGCTAGAGAGTCACAGTTTTATCGAATTCTTAAAAGAATCCATTACCCGCCCCTCCCCCTCAAAAAGACTAACAGAAGGGCATAGGTGATCATTGTGTATCTTCCAGTACATACGTGACTGAAATAATGTATGACCACTTTAGGGAGAAACTTTAGCCCAGTGAGTACCTAGGTTATTTGTTAATAAGATAAAAATTCAGAAAGTGGAGAGGAAGGAAATCAGTGGGGCGGATGTTGCCATAATCCAGTAATGAATCCGTGGGAAATGATCAGAGATGAGGAAGAGAAGATGGAGAAGAAACCTCATGCTTGGTTTTTCCTTTTCCTTTCCTTTCCCAGAACGGTTCTGGACTGGCAGCCAGGTGAAGGGAAATGTAAGATGGCAGGGAAAGTTAAAGACAGCTTTGCCAGCTGCAGTGGAAAAGAAAAGAGGGAAGAAGAGGAGAAAGGGGAGGAAAATGTAAAGCTGTAACATCCCGGAAGGCGCCCATGTGGATGTAGGGACATGCAAACGGGAACTGGCATGACGGGTCAGTCTCCACCCAGCAGACAACGCAGCTCCACACTGTACCCGCTGGCCACTGTGAAGAGTTCTCCATAAAACTCCTTTCTGTAAAATACAGCTAATCAAGCTGATCCTAAAAGGGCTGGGCACTCTGTCATCTTCCCCTTCTATTTTCCATCTTCTTTTGAGGCACCGCCCAAGCCCTTGATTCCAATCATTAACCAACCTCTAATTCAATAGAAATAGAAATTAGGGTGCGAGCAAATGAGCGCGCTCACACGTGTGTGTGCGTGTGCGTGTGCGTGTGTGTGTGCGTGTGCGTGTGTGTCTGTGTGTACGCACGTGTGTGTGCGTGTGTGTGAGTGTGTTGGGCGGGGGGCGGGGGGGTGCTTAAATGCCTGAACATTTAGCTGTGACTTAAAATGGCTTATTATAAAAAAGATTAGATTTAACAGTATCAAATACAGTGGGTTTATCTTGATGTTAAAAATCAGAATCTGCTTTATTCTTGATAATACTGTAATTAAATATATCTGTCAATAAAAATCATATGTAGAACTGAAATGAGATGACATGAAGTGGAATGTTAGTTCCCATATTTTTCAGAAGTTATAAAATTATCCTGTTACCCTACCTTTTTTCCCTCTCCTCTTACTCTAAGTATTAATTAGGAATGACCCTAAAGAAAGTCTATTCACTCACACACACACACACACACACACACACACACACACACACACACGGTTCACAGAGGTTACTTCTAAATGGCAAGGCCAAAAGGTGAGCAACCTCATCCCTCACTGGAGGAGCCATGGATTACTCTCTGCTGGACACACTTAAGGCCTTGATCTTGTCTTGTTAAACATATCCTGTGGTTGCCTTCATCACATTCTCTGGAAAGATGATTCCACACCAGCGAATTCTACACTCTTTAGGTGGCATTTAGTCAAATCCTGCCAAAATCTTCTAATTCTTATCCTTCACTTTGAAAACAATTATCCCTTAGCCAGAGACCCCAACAAGTCTGAAACTAAAAATTTTGAACCCAAATGCAAAGACCACATTAGAAGTATATGAAAGAAAAAGCATACAAACACACAGTTGTGTTTATCCTAAAAGTCTCTGAGAATTTCATATCAGGCCTGTGCATACAGATGACAGATACTTCTTTAATCTTCTCTTTGAAGCTCTGGCTTCTATGTGAAAGGGAAGCTATCACTCCTCTATAATAGACATATTCAACATTATCAGGTCCATGCAAATAAGATTTGAAACTAGGAAAAGAAGAGTACGAAATGAGCAAAGAGAAAATGCTAAAACCATACTGATGATGATTATCTTCACATTCAATCAAAATAAATACATTTTTTTCTTGTGCTTCCAAAAATGAAAATGAAAGAATAAAAGTCCACAACATTAAGTTTACTCTACAAAATAGTCTTGAACATTTAGGGTTAAACATTATGTGCAAGGCAAAGTTTGTGATACATGCTTTAAATTAAACAGGTTTCAATTAAACATTAATTTATTTTTATTATTAAAGTATAGTTGACACAATATTATAGTAGTTGCAGGTGTACAACATAATTACTTAATATTTATATATGTACCTTATGAAGTGTTTAACATGGTAAGTGGAGTAACCATCTGTCACGTTACGGAGTTATTACAATATTATTGACTATACTTCCTATGCTGTACATTACATTCCTATGACTTATTTATTTTACAACTGGAAGTTTGTATTTTTCAATCCCCTTCATCTTTTCACCCTTCCTTCAATCCCCTTTAATTGAACTTTAAAGGTACAACAAATAAATTGAACCCACTGTATTGAGGGAATCTTGATGAGCCCCAGCTCATCAAGATTATGATAATAATAACAATGTTAAGATATTTTGAACACATTGTTGGACACTGTTCTAAGCAGTTCTCTTATATTAACTCACTCCCCCTTCAACTCTAACTGTATTATTATGTTCATTTTCTAAATGAGGAAACTGAGGCATCAAGAGGTGAGATAACTTGCCCATAATCACACAGTTAGTAAATAAGGCTAAAAGTTACCATTCCTAGCAACTAGTTCCAGAACAGGCACTCTAATAATAAATTAAGGAGGTGAAACAAACAACTGTAACTATCCTCATATTGGAAATATCTAGGAAGAAAAATAATTCTATTTCCTAACTATAATTTAAAAATTAGCACATTCAGTATTTAATCTTATCTTA